GCCGAAGTGGCATCATCAATAACATGTGACATATTGGAATCAATAACAGGTGTAGGTGTCGCAAGTTTACTTAAAACAAAAGGAGAATGAAGTGCAGAGCTAGATGGCAGTTCCTTAACTCCCCTCGTAGTTGAGGGATATATCTTGGTTTTGTTGTCTTTTAGATTCCTCATAGTGATCAACAGATATAAACCCCAAGTGACTCAGAGAATAGAGCTATGCTCCCCGACAACGGCTCCAAAAAAAGGTCTTGATAACCCACAAGTATAGGGGATCGCAATAGTTTTCAAGGGTAGAGTATTCAACCCAAATTTATTGATTCGACACAAGGGGAGCCAAAGAATATTCTCAAGTATTAGCAGCTGAGTTGTCAATTCAACCACACATGTATCTGCAGCAAAGTATTTAGTAGCAAAGTGATACGTCTCCAACGTATCTATAATTTTTGATTGTTTCATGCTATTATATTATATGTTTTGGATGTTTTATATGCATTAATACACTATTTGATATGATTTTTAGGACTAACCTATTAACCTAGAGCCCAGTGCCACTTCGAGTTTATGTTTTTCCTTGTTATAGAGTTTCGCAGAAAAGGAATACCGAACGGAGTCTGAACGGAATAAAACTTTCGCGATGATATTTCTCGGACCAGAAGACACCCGGGAGACTTGGAGTGCAAGTCAGAAGAGCCACGAGGCAGCCACAGGGGTGGAGGGCGCGCCCAGGGGGGTAGGGCGTGGCCCCCAACCTTATGGGCCCCTCGGTGACCTCCTGACCTAGATCTTCCTCCTATATATACTCATATACTCGGAAAACTTACAGGGGAGCCACAAAACCACTTTTACACCGCCGCAACCTTCTATATCCATGAGATCCCATCTTGGGGCCTTTTACGACATCCTACCAGAGGGGGATTCGATCACGAAGGGTTTCTACATCAACACCATTGCCTCTCCCATGAAGCGTGAATAGTTTACCACAGACCTACGGGTCCATATCTAGTAGCTAGATGGATTCTTCTCTCTCTTTGACTCTCAATACCATGTTCTCCTCGATGTTCTTGGAGATCTATTCGATGTAATACTCTTTTGCGGTGTGTTTGCTGAGATCCGATGAATTGTGGATTTATGACCATCTTATCTATGAATACTATTTGAATCTCCTCTGAATTCTTATATGCATGATTTGATATCTTTGCAAGTCTCTTCGAACTATCGATTTGGTTTGGCCAACTAGATTGGTTTTTCTTGCAATGGGAGAAGTGCTTAGCTTTGGGTTCAATCTTGCGGTGCTCGATCCTAGTGACAAAAGGGGAACCGACACGTATTGTATTGTTGCCATCGAGGATAACAAGATGGGGTTTTCATCATATTTCTTGAGTTAATCCCGCTCCATCAAGTCATCTTACTTAATGTGTTACTCTGTTCTTATGAACTTAGTACTCTAGATGCAGGCAGGAGTCGGTCGATGTGTGGAGTAATAGTAGTAGATGCAGAATCGTTTCGGTCTACTTGACACGGACGTGATGCCTATATTCATGATCATTGCCTTAGATATCATCATAACTTTGCGCTCTTCTATCAATTGCTCGGCAGTAATTTGTTCACCCACTGTAATAATTTCTATCTTGAGAGAAGCCTCTGGTGAAACCTATGCCCCCCGGGTCTATTTTCCATATTATAAGTTTCCGATCTATAATTCTAGTTTCCTATTTACTTTCTTTGCAATCTTTTACTTTTCGATCTATAAACCAAAAATACCAAAAATATTACTTTACCGTTTATCCATCTCTATCAGATCTCACGTTGCAAATAACCGTGAAGGGATTGACAACCCCTTTATCGCGTTGGGTGCAAGGTTGGTGTTTGTCTGTGCAGGTATTCGGTGGCTTATCGCGTTGTCTCCTACTGGATTGATACCTTGGTTCTCAAAACTAAGGGAAATACTTACTCTACTTTGCTGCATCATCCTTTCCTCTTCAAGGGAAAAACCAATGCAAGCTCAAGAGGTAGCACAAAGTAGTATGGAAGTAACGGCAAGAGTAGCAAAAGTAACAGTAGCAGTTTTGTAGCAATCGTAACAGTGGCAATGGAAAAGTAACGAAGCAAAGATCGATATGTGAAAAGCTCGTAGGAAATGGATCAATGATGGATAATTATGTCGGATGGCATTCATCATGCAACAGTTATAACATAGGGTGACACAGAACTATCTCCAGCTCATCAATATAATGTAGGCATGTATTCCGAATATAGTCATACGTGCTTATGGAAAAGAACTTGCATGACATCTTTTGTCCTACCCTCCCATGGTAGCGGGGGGGGCCTATTGGAAACTAAGGGATATTAAGGCCTCCTTTTAATAGAGTACCAGACCAAAGCATTAGCACTTAGTGAATACATGAACTCCTCAAACTACGGTCATCACCGGGAAGTGTCCCGACTATTGTCACTCCGGGGTTGCCGCGTCATAACATGCAGTAGGTGACTATAACTTGCAATATCGGACCAAGAACACAAATATATTCATGAAAACATAATAGGTTCAGATCTGAAATCATGGCACTCAGGCCTAGTGACAAGCATTAGGCATAGCAAAGTCATAGCAACATCAATCTTAGAACATAGTGGATACTAGGGATCAAACCCTAACAAAACTAACTCGATTACATGGTAAATCTCATACAACCCATCACCGTCCAGCAAGCCTACGATGGAATTACTCACGCACAGCGGTGAGCATCATGAATTGGTGATGAAGGATGGTTGATGATGACGATGGCGACAGATTCCCCTCTTTGGAGCCCAGAACGGACTCCAAATCTGCCCTCCCAAGGAAGAACAGGGCTTGCCGGCGGCTCCGTATCGTAAAACATGAGGAATCCTTCTCTCTAATTTTTTTCTCCTGAACGTGAATATATGGAGTTGGAGTTGAGGTTGGTGGAGGTCTAGGGGGCAACTATGACGGAGGGCGCGCCCCCCACCCTTGTGGCCAGGGTGTGGGCCCCCTTCACTTGATTCTTTTGACAATATTTTTTATTAATTCCAAAACTGATCTCCGTGTATTTTCAGGTCATTCCGATAACTTTTATTTCTTCATAAAAATAACATCATGGCAATTCTGCTGAAAATAGCATCAGTTCGGGTTAGTTCCATTCAAATCATGCAAATTAGGGTCCAAAACAAAGGCAAAAGAGTTTGGAAAAGTAGATACGACGAAGACGTATCAATCATATTCATGTCCATAATCAGAGAAGTATTAATTATCATTAAGGATCTGAACATATGATCTTCCACTGAATAAACGAACTAGCATCAACTACAAGGAGTAATCAACACTACTAGCAACCCACGGGTACCAATCTAAGATTTTGAGACAGAGATCAGATACGAGAGATGACTAGGGTTTAAGAGAAGATGGTGCTAGTGAAGATGTTGATGGAGATTGACCTCCACTCGATGAGAGGATCGTTAGCAATGACGATGGCTTCAATTTCCCCATCCCGAAGAGAAGTTTCCCTGGCAGAACAGCTCTGTCGGAGCCCTAGATTGGTTCGGCCCAAGTTCCGCCTCGAAACGGCGGCACTTCGTCCCGAACGCTACCTTCTGATTTTTTTTCCAGGTCAAAACAGACCATATAGCAGAAGATGGATATCGGGGGACTGCCAGGTGGCCCACAAGGTACGGGAGCGCGCCCTCCACCCTTGTGGATGGCAGGTGGCCCCCTCTGGTGCTTTCTTTGCTCAATATTTTTTATATATTCCAAAATAATTCTTCGTGAAGTTTCAGTATTTTTGGAGTTGTGCAGAATAGGTCTATAATATTTGCTTCTTTTCTAGTCCAGAATTCTAGCTGCCGGCATTCTCCCTCTTCATGTAAACCTTATAAAATAAGAGAGGAAAGGCATAAGTATTGTGATATAATGTGTAATAACAGCCCATAATGCAATAAGTATCGATATAAAAGTATGATGCAAAATAGATGTATCAGCATTATGCATGCATTAATGGTGGTATCAGAATCCAGACGATCATGCCACTGGCATTGCGTGTGAACAACCGTCTGCCAGCATGCATTATGTCGTGTGTGTCGTTGAAGGCACACGCCGTACATGCATGGCCCGTGGATTACGTACGACCTCTTCACGGCGCTATGAACTGCGACGAGCACGACCACGTGGCACCGCTATTCACCATGCGGGCCTCTAAAACACTGGGCTTTAACCCCTAAAGGCTGAGAGTTTTTGAGGGGTGTCACGCCGTACGTGGCAGTACACTGAGGCACATGTCAAAGTGCACCGCCGGTTCACACACGGTGTACAGTGCCGTAAGCCAAGTGACCAATTTACACTAACCGTGCGGGCCTCTAAAACACTCGGCTTTAATCCCTGAAGGCCAGAGTGTTTTTGAGGGGTGTCACGTCGTACATGGCAGTACGTTGAGGCACATGTTAAAGTGCACCGCAGGTTCACACACGGTGTACAGTGGCGTAAGCCAAGTGACCAATAATTTACACTCACGTATCGAGAAACACAAGGTAGAATATGTTTTTTCGTGTAGTGATCTATGGATAGCAGGAAGAACACGATGATTATCATCAATCTCGCATGCAGTTTCAATGGCTCCGGTACTCAGTAGCCAGCATGAATGTGTGCATGTGGTGTGATATTTTAGGGAAGGCAAGTGCTTCTTTAAGAAATAGCCAGTGTTATTGCTTAAAGAAACACTTTGCTCTCGGATAGGTTTTCTGGCAAACAGAAAAAGAATCAACTTCCTTTTCCTAAAGACTTGTGCAACATTTGCATTGTACGCGCTCTTTGTCAAACGGTAAGTGTTGGATGCAACTAATTAACGAACGGTGAAGGTGCAGTGCGTGGACAAATAATTGCATGTCGGCAAAATACGATTACATGATTCAGTTCATCGGAAATTCAGTTAATTGAACACCAGAGCGTGTGGTTTGTGGAACACAGGCATGTCGTCCAAGATCACCAGGAATTCACTTGACAGTTATTGGCACGCCGGCACGACGTCTCGACGCTCTCTGAGCCAGCGCTCTGTGCTGCAGGTGCTCGCGCATGCGGAGCCAGTCGTGGACGAAGTCCGGCAGGACGGCGGCGAGGCACCACAGGAGCTGGTGGCCGAGGTTGGGGGCGCAGAGGGGCGGGCCGTGGCCGATCCAGCGCACCGCCGCGCTCGCGTACGCGTCGGGCGTCGGCGCAATGAGGAACATAGAGAGGCGCCCGGCCCGCCCGGTCTCTGCCAGCCTTGACACTATCCTGGTCGCCACGTAGAACGGAGCCTGCACGAAATAAAGTGCTAGCTGGTTAGCGAGAGCGGGGTGGAGCTTACGTGTATTAAGGCGTATTGTGGCGGTGTTTTCAGGTCTTTCTACGTCATCTTTCAGTTGTGTAGTCGTTTGCGTTCTACCTTCCTCGATTATTCCGGAATCGGCTTTGTAAGAGTACTATCTCACCATCTTGCATCATTCGGTCATGTACTTTGTGTGATTGTTGCTTTACATATAAAGCGGGATGAAAGCTTGTTTCGAGAGCGCATCCATGCACATAATGCAAATATGTCAATGTACCACGTCACTGTCAAAAGAAACCATTTTTTAGACATCTCAAAGAAAAAGCTCTTACTATCTTCTTTAAAAAGAAACTTTTTTTTAACTTAAATTCCCACTATCTTTGTCATGAGAAGCCTCATGAAGTTAGAAAGGTCTAGAAAAACTAGATGAAAGGCTCCTCTGAGGGATTTCCACACACCCGACCTCACGTTAATGGGGAAACCCTATTTGACGCAGGGCTGCCCTTTTTGTCCATTTCTGTTACTTCCTCTTCCTCGTTCGTGAGTCTTCCGTTTGTTTTTCTTATTGTTTTTATTTGAGATGTGCCCTAGACATTTCCAATTTTTAAAAAATCACCAGAGTTTCAAAAAATGTTCCTGCATTCAATATTTTGTCAAAAATTCAAAATTTCACGTTTTTATAAAATGTATAGGGATTTCTAAATTTTCATGATTTTTAAAAATAGCTCAGAATTTTAAAAAAGTCCTTGTTTTCAAATATTGTTCACAAATTAAAAAAATATTTGAAAATGTTTGTGTTTTCACAAAATTCTTCAGGATTTCAAAAAATGGTTCAGTTTTTAAACTTTGTTCACAATTTTTAAAAATGTTAATTTATTCGAATATTGGGGGGGGGGGATTTTAAAAATGTTCACCTTTTTAAAAAATGTTAGCAATTTCCAAATTCATTCATGTTCTGATTTTTTTAACTTTAAAAATGTTCATAAATTTTAAAAAGAACTTGGAATTTTAAAACTGTTCAAAGGTCTATGCTACAGTATGTTTACTACAGTACCAAACCAGTATACCTTTTTAGTAAAGGTAAAATTAGTATACAGTAGCCAGCTCGCTACAGCAGCCTCTAATGGTCCATCCGAGTCGCGCTCGCCCTGTGCGTCACGGCTCTGTTTGCATGAAATGCGTCAAATAGGAGGTACCATGTTCACTTTTTCCTGAAAAACAGGGACCTAAATATGCCGCTCCATTACCAACCCGTATGGCTGGTGTGGAGTTTGTCCAATTAGTTGTCACATTGAGCGGCAAATAGGACAAGTCAACCTATTGGAATATGGGACTCTTAATGCTTTATTTTTTCCTGGAAAGTTGAAAAAGATGATTCGGTGCAGTACAAATCCGCCAAACAAGCATAACATTCATCCCTCAGAGGAGAAGTAATCGGGCATGATTTTATGCTGGTTTCGACGACTAAAACAGAAGGGAGCCTTGGGGTTCAAGTCCTCTTATAAAAATGTAGGCCAAGATTGTGTACTATAGATCCAAAGTGGTCGGATCTTTTCACGTACCCTGCGCAAGCGAGAGCTCCATGCACCAGGTTGCCCTTTTTTGATGACTAAAACAATGAATTAAGCTGGCCCTAAGAAAACTATGATATAATAGACGTTCAACATTTTCATTTCCAGTACATTGATCTTTTCGTCTATATATTACCCGTCTAAAGGATCAAGCGCCATTATACCAAACATTCTTTACACATGGGATATTTTGGGGTTTCCTCTTTCTTCATAGTGTCATGGAATTGTAAGAAGTTGGAAATTTTCTCTTGTAAATATATCTTTCCCTTTCCTATTTCATGTCAACAAACTATCTTTTCTTTGCAGATTTCCGTTTTCTCTCTCGATAATATTAACCCGTTTTGCTCTACTCATTTTTTCACGACGAGCCATATGTTCTTTGTCCGGTTTAGAGAATATCAACTCATGTTCTACATATACCTATATGAATTCTTCATTTTCATTAAATACATTTTGCATTTTTTAAAAGTAATCCGGATGCATTTTTTATTCCAAAGGTTGTCAGAAGCCACTGAAATGTACTTGAGGGCATGCAAGTGTTACCCACTCTACAGATTCTTCTTCCATTTTGACTGCAAATTAGTGTTTTAAATTGAGTTTTGAAAAATATTTGTTTCCTTATTTTCTATTAATCCAATATTGTTTGTTTGCAATATTATAAGCATCTTCTACCGTGTTGTCATCAGGTCTCTTTCTTTATTTGCCTATAACTATTTTAGTGGTGACTCACATAAAGACCTATGCCCCGGTTTCTACTTTCTCCTATTACTCCTAATTTCAGCAACTGTTCAATGTATATTTTAAAGTCTTACTTGTCCTTTGGGGTGACATATTATGTAGAGGTAATATCACCATGAGTCATAGAACTTGTGTTGCATGTTCAGTTTGGTGCTAGAACTTCGCAAATACGGTTTTGTGGTCATCTAACTTGACTCAAGCGTGCAGATACAGTCACAGTACGTGTATGCAGGCGTATCCATGTGTTTGGCCCCACTTGTCAGTGAATAATGGCGCTAGGTGTGACGTATTTTTACATAGAACACCCTGAATTTTTTTATGTGGGAAAATTCAACAACATCGATGCATTTTGCACAAAACACCCTAACTTTTTTTATTTACAGAAAACAAGACGGCAATATTTTTTTTTGCGGGGAACAAGACCACAATACTACACATGCGAAAATTAACAACAAAAAGCGTATGCCTGGACTCGAACCGACGACCAACTATTTTCTAACACGAGAAGACAAAATGCAAAAATTAACATCAGGACTCGAACCAGGGGCCAATTATTTTAACTCAATACAGAAAAGCCACTACAATAGATCAGGTTGGGATGTCTGACATGGATAACGAACATAAATGTATTAAATGAGGGTGCATGTATGTGGAGCTTAAATGGGCTAAGAATACTGCAGCCTATTTTGTCCGTCCTATTTTTTAAAAGATATAAACATGGAGTCAATTACACTGATGGTGCTACAACTTGGCGTAAATGGTCACTTTGGTGCTAGAAGTTGTGATGTACATTGGAGTGGTGCAAAAACTTGACATTAACATGCAAATTCGGTGCTTATCTCGTTTATATACGGGGTAGGTGCTGACTAGCCGTGTGGGGCCCGCTGTCAGCCACTGCACCGGAGAGAAGGGGTGCGTGGCCTGATTTTTTTGGAAAACACCCTCGAAATATATATTTTCACAAAAAAAAACCTGTTGACGTGGAAGAGTGGACTTTTTCCCCTATATTAGGAGTGGGTCCCACCTGTCAGAGAAGAGTGAAAATTATATCAAAAGTGAGGCCACCTGGACTCGAGCCCATACCCGACAAATAGTCATCAGTACTGCTAACCAACACGGCAACAAAGTCTCATGTCAAATTTGGATAAGAAAGCTATCTGTACTAACCTGGCAGCATGCGGAGCTTTTATTGGCTGCAGATAGTGCGGCCCATTCTACACCTGTTCCTTTTTTAAATTTATTTGTAAAACATAATTGATAAAAAAATATGTTCAAATATTTGTGCGATACAAATATTATACATGGAAAATATTATTAGTGAATAATAACATTTAAATATACATCCTTGCATGATATAAAAAATTTAGTTAATACTGACATTTAATAAAATTAAAATATTTAATGAATACATAAATATTATACAGTCACGGCTTATATTCAAATTATAGAAAATGAATATTCATATGAGCAGCTTAAATTATAAATTATGATTATTTTTTATTATAAAAACATTGAACTATACAAACATGCATATGATTATTGAAATGTTGTATACCTAAACTAATTTTCTTAATTGTAATTTTTTTAGTTCTATAGTTTGCAAACACTGTTATAATTCATAAATATTATTTAAATAATATGTGAAAAGTTTTATAAAATAATTTATTCTGTTTGCATGTACTCCCTTTGTTTGTTTTTATAAGACGTTTCAGACAGCTTGCTTTGTGCTGTTTTCAACAGTGTCTGAATGTCTAAAACGTTTTATAAAAGTGAACAGAGGTAGTACAATATTTATAAACACAAATATTCATTCGTTATTTTTATTACCAAGAATATAATTTAGATTTTTTAAGAACTTATAATTTAGATACTTTCTGCTGAAAAATAAAAGAAACTAACAGGTGGAAAATAAGCCGCGAGATGTACAGCCCATTTAACCTCCGCCTGCGCTGCGATTAAAATACATATAATATGTTTACCCGTATTGCCCGTAGAAGACTTAATCGGTGCGGTGGTTTGCCAGCTTGTTTGTGAGGACATTGTTGTGGGTTCGATCCTGGCATTTTGTTTTCGGTCTCAGGTGACATGCGGGACCCACTTCTCATAGAGGTGACAAAATCTTCCCACATCAACAGGGATTTTTTTTTGGGAAAAAATATTTCGAGGGTGCTTTTGAAAAAAATCTGGCCTCAACAGGGTTCGATCCCGGCATTTTGTTTTCGGTCTCAGGTGACATGCAGGACCCACTACTCATAGAGGTGACAAAATCTTCCCACGTCAACAGGGATTTTTTTTGGGAAAAAATATTTCGAGGGTGCTTTTGAAAAAAATCTGGCCTCAACAGGGATTTTTTTGTGAAAAAATATTTCAAGGGTGCTTTTGAAAAAAATCTGGCCACACGTCCCTTCTCTCTGGTCGAGTGGCTGACAGCGGGCCCCATGCGCCTGATCAGCACCGACTCCGTATACAAATGAGATAAGCACCGTATTTGCACGTCAATGTCAAGTTTTCGCACCACTTCAATGTACACCATGACTTTTAGCACCAAAATGACCATTTACGTCAAGTTGTAGCACCACGAATGTAATTGACTCATAAACATGTGTACTATATAACTGTGCGTATTGCATATTTGGTTTTCACAGTTACAATTCAAAAAATATTATTTTAATTATATGAACATTTGAATAATTATATATACGCACATTTGTATAGTTCAATGTTTATATAATTCAAAATATTAATAATTTAAAATTTAAACTGTTAATATGAATACTCAGGCGTGGCTAATATTTAAGTTATATAACTTTTTTAAATATAAGTCATGAATAAATTTTTTTACACAAGTGAATAGTCATAAATATTTAGTAAATGTTTGTGTTCATCTTTTTGTGTAATTTAAATATAAGCCAGAAGTGTATATTTTTTGGATTAATTAAACATATTCATCTAATAAACATTTTCAATGTACATATTAACTAAATAGTTTTTAAATAATAGAAAAAATTATATTTAAAGTTTTTATTTAGAAATGATCGTTTGCATGTATTGTATTTTTAAGAAACAAATATTTGAACATAATTTTATTAGTTATGTTTTACAAATGTCTTAAATTCTTTTATTACTTATGTTTACTAAATATTAAATATATAATACACAGTTTTATATTTAAATGTTTTATATACTAATCATCATCTGTATATATAATAGTTTTAACACACAAATATTTGAACGTAACTTTATTACCTTTTTAGGAGTTCGTAACTTTATTACTTATATATGTTTTAGAAATTATCTTTAAAGAAAAATAGCACGCGAAAAATGGGCTGTAGTATCCACAGCCCAATTAAGCTCCACATAAGTCCTCCTCAAGTACATATACGTTGGTTATCCATATTTAACAACCTGACTAGAATATCCTAGTGGCGTGGCTAGACTGTTTTGTGTTAAATAAATTGTTAGTGGGTTTGAGTCCTGGTGCACGCTTTTTGTTTGTTAATTTTCACATATATGTACAGTACCATGGTCCTGCTATTCTATAAATAAACAATTTGAGGATGTTTTGTGCAAAAAATGTGTCGCTGTGGTTGACTTTTTCCGCAAATATTTTTTTTGAGGGTGTTCTGTGTAAAATACATCACGCCCAGCGCCATCGGTCAATGACAAGTGGGGTCATGCACATGGATACGTCAACATATACGTAGTGTGACTGTATCTGCACGCTTGAGTCAAATTATGTAACCACAAAACCATATTTTTGAAAGTACTAGCACCAAACTAAACGTGTGACGCAAGTTCTATAACTTTCGGTGATATTACCTCTATTATGTACTCCCTTTGTTTCTAAATATAAGTCTTTCGAGAGATTCCAGTATAAACTACATAGGGAGCAAAATGAGTGAACCTATACTCTAAAAGACGTCGATATATATACATCCGAATATAGTCTTTATAGTGGAATCTCTAAAAGTACATATATTTAGGAACGGAAGGAGTATTTATTATGTTTTTTACATATTCTAGATTTTTTATCCCAGTAGTTCATAAGTACTTCTCCAATAATCTGGATATCTTCTAGTCTTTGAACAATCATCTCTATATAGGGAAACAATTCAGGGCCTCACTGATTCACATGATAAATAAAACGCATGAATAGAAAAGCACACGAATAGAGTGTCATGACATACATGATTGTATGGTTGTTTGATTTTACGCAGGAAAAACATCTGTTTCCTTACGTGAGTTTGGAAGTGGATGGAAATTACAAAATAAATCCTAAAGGAAAAAATCCTATGGATTGCAATCAAACAGCCAACGTGTATGAAAAGTTCATAAGAATTAGAATCCTTCATCTTTTTGCATGGAAATCCATTGAATCAAAGGGACTCTCAGATGAAGCTAAATATGCGTCGAACATGTAACGGGCAATATATATTACCTGGCATTGCACATCGATCCCTTTGCTTCTGTACTCAACGTAAAGGCTCCTGGAGAACTGCGCAACATACCTGCTTGGAATGAACCACCGACGTGTAATGTAAGCAGAAAAACCAATCAGTCTCACAGTCTCGCTCCATCCATAGGAACTAAATTTGCTCCACCGTACCGCGAAATGCCCCGCTTGTGTGGGACTAGGATCAGGTAACATGCGCTACGATGACATGCACGATGACATGCGGCCCAAATTCAAATTTAAACATTGCGAAAAAATCTGAAAAAAATCATACATGTTCACAGCACATATTATACGATGACATGCACGGTGACATGCGGCCCAAATTCAAATTTAAACATTGCGAAAAAATCTGAAAAAAATCATGCATGTTCACAGTACATATTAAGATAACCCCTAAAAATTTCAGATCAAAATTCGAAACATACATCGAGAAACGAAAAAGAGAAACTTAGATGTGAATAGTCTACAGAGAACCATTCGGAAACTATTCATGACAGATTTCTCTTTTTCGTTTCTCGATGTATGTTTCGAGTTTTGATCTGAAATTTTTAGGGGTTAACTTAGTATGTGCTGTGAATATGTATGATTTTTTTCAGATTTTTTCACAATGTTTAAATTTGAATTTGAGCCGCATGTCACCGTGCATGTCACCGTAGCGCATGTCACCTGATCCCAGTCCGCTTGTGTGAGACATACCTTTTGGTGACGGCGTACATGGTGTGGGACCGTAGCGCATGTCACCTGATCCCAGTCCGCTTGTTTGAGACATACCTTTTGGTGGCAGCGTACATGGTGTGGAGGGGGAAGGAGGGGATGGCCTCCGACGAGGCTGAGCCCATGTTGACGACGGCGCCCCTGCGTCGCTCCAGCATCCCCGGCAGCACCGCGGCGGTCACCTCCGTCAGCGCCCACAGGTTCACCCGCATCATCCTCACACAGGCCTCCACGTCGGCCTCGTGCAGGTACACGGCGCCCGGCTTCGCCACCCCGGCGTTGTTCACCAGCACTCCCACGTCCAGCCCCGCCACGGCCTCTCGGAGCCGCCGCATCGCCTCGTCACCTGCCGGCGGCGGTCACCATGAGAGTGATGAAGCGATTCGTTGCTATTTGCTTCTGTGCCGTGCTTGAGTTTGAGTAGTAGTACAAGTTTAATTACCTTGGGCAGTAGAAACGAGCGAGAGATCGAACACCACGGTCTTGGTCTGCACGGCGTGGCGAGATCTGACGGTGTGAGCGATTTCCTTGAGATTGGCGGCGTTGAGGTCGACGAGCACGAGGTTGAGCCCCCGGCTGGCGAGCTCCAGGGCGACGGACCGGCCGATGCCGGACGTCGGGCCGGTGACGACGGCCCAGGCGCCGTAGCGGCGCCGGAGGTCCTTCGGCCGGCGCAAGCAGAGCGCGAGGTGGGCGAGGAGCCGGAACGAGAATGCAGCGGCGTAAAGGGTGCCGAGGAAGGCCAGCGAGAGGAACCATGCCGGCGCCGCCTGCGCTTGACTGAGGAATGCCATCTCTCGCCGTTCTCTCCCCTTTTTCTTTATGACACCATGACATCCTCTCTCCTATTAAATAAACAGTGTGCATTTACCACGGCTGGTCGGCTGCCAACTACGAGCTGTGCACGATGTGCACTTCCAAGTACTCCTTCGTTTGAAAACGATGCAACGCGTATTTCACTGTTTTAAAATTTTGAATTCGGACTTTAGAAACACATGTCTCATACAGTTTTTTTTGGCGGGGACATGTCTCATGCAGTTGTTTGTTAACGGTTGAAAAACCATAACAATATGCACATCAACCAATGTGCTCTGTTGTGAATCAACCTGTGGTTGAGTTGGTTATGTGGACAGTGATATCCCCAACCCACCAGGATTCAAATCCTGGTGCTCGCATTATTCCTGGATTTATTTCAGGATTTTCGGCGATGCGCTTTCAGTGGGAGGAGACGTTCCCATCGACGACGAGGTGCCTACGGTGACTTCGTAAATCTCAAAATGATATGCCGGCTCAGTCTCTCGGAGGTGCTCATAGGGGTAGGGTGTGCATGTGTGCCTTCATAGGGGTGAGTGTATGCGCGTGTATATGAGCGCTTGTGTCTGTACTGATGCTAAAAAAAACCAATGTGCTCTGTTTATTTATTTATTAAGTAGTTTCATTTTTTTATTAAACCTAAAAAAAGCTGTCGTTTTATAAATGAACATGTTTTTTTAAAGGAGGATCACTCCCGGCCTCTGCATCTGGGCTATGCATGCAGTCATTTTATTAATTATTCAGCAAAGACCTTGCAAAGAATACAATAATAAGTCTGAAGCTACCGTTTATGCGAAAACTGTCGCTACTCCTATCCAGCTGATGAAGGGATGCTGATAGTCCGGACCTAATACCACAGACCTCGCACACAAGCTAACATCTAAGACCTGAGGCCCCCAACCAAGCCACTTGCCGGGTATGGACACACACTGGTCTGACGCGCTCTCAGATGCCGCCACCACCAACTGCCACCGCTCCATCTTCAGATCTGTACTGACGCATCATTCTTGCCCGGTCTAGCTGCCGTCAACGCCACCACGGTGCCCAACGGCACCACCACCCTGCGCGCGAATGGCTGAGCACGCCGCGGTCGCCGCCGGTACACCTCAACACCATGCCGCCAAGTACCACCAGCCGACACAACTTGAAGTCTTTGAAAGATCTGTCATGCGTAGCACCTGCCGACCAGGCATGAGAAAGCGTAGCACCTGTCGGTTTGGCATAACTTGACATCTCCATCGAAGCTCCGTGCAAGACGAAGCCGCTCCACCTTCTGCCTCTGAGCACCAGCACTGCTCCACAAAAGATGCTCCCAAGAGAGAAACGCCACCGCAGTGCCGTCGTCGTCTGATCTGGAAGACCAGATCCTAGGGTTTCCCCAGAGAAGTACAAGTGGGTCGACATAAGCCACACAATGATGCCTTCATCAAGGTAACGACGTAGATGGCCGCCATCACCCGCCGTCAGCTCGGTTTTCACCGAAAACTATGTCTCCCGACTCGCAGCCAGTACTGGATCATGGATACGGAGATCCGAACACCCAGCCTTAGGCCGACCATCTCTGACGGAAGAGATGACCACCAGCGCCGGTCGCATCGGTCAAAACAGATTTGACCAGAGATGCCGCCGACGAGAGCACCAGGACCTCCTCGCCGCCGCCGCCGATCTGAAGGCAGTTTGCACGCCACCGCAGCCTAGCTGTCCGCCGCAGACCACTGCCGCTGCTCGAAAAGGCCGGCCGGCCGCGTGCCCGCAGCCACATAGCCGTCTGAGGCTGGGCCACCCGCCGTGCCTAGCTGCCGCTGTCCAAGGACGGGGCGGCCACTCGTCACCTGCAGCATCCATCCGTCGCGCCACAGAACCCAGATCAGCCGCACCATCACATGCCTAGGGGGCCCGCCACAACCCAAAGACGCGTGAGAGAGGAGATCCCCCGCCACCGCCGTTGGCCCCCGGGCTTAGGCCGGCGGCGGCCCCCGGTGGCTGCGGATGGAGAGGAGGAGGGAGTTCTTGGCAGCGGCGGCTTGGTTTCTAGGAGTCGCCTGAGTCGCCCTAGGGGAAGAGCGACGCGAGGAGAAAAATCTTATATGCATGTGTGACTTCAAGTTCTCGTGAGAAAACTGTGTGTTGGTTTTATTCTACATGAAAGACTTTGCATGAAATTTAAAATCTTCACATGATACTCGGTCACCTAAATGTAGCGATTTTCTGAAACTTTTATAACAATGAAACCTTACTTTCTTTTTAAAACCATGTGTGTCTAATGATAGATAGAAGAGAAAATACAAAGTCCACTATTTTTATCCAATGAAGGGCGTTTTTATTCCCTCACAGTGAAGTATCAAGAGTATACAAAACAAAGTGAACACACACTAAACTTCGGCACAACTAGAATGCGCACAACCAATACCAACACACACACAATTGATCACGCCAGCAAAAAAACAAAGTCATTAAAGACTGAAGCTATGTATAGGGGGTGGAAAATAAAAAAAGAAGGAAAAATAAAGATAGCCAATGCAACCAACGACACACAAATAGCGAGCAACATCATCAACCACCATATTTGACAACACATGAACTCTGAGAATGTTTCTCCAAAAGCAACACCTTCAAGAAGGTAACGCCGCATGAAGGACACAACCTAGGTAGAACAGAGAGTAGACCGACACACCATCCCAATGAAAACAAGTTAGTTCGATCTTCATGAATTGGAAGCCTGCAGACTTATACACCATCCCAATGGAAACAAGTTAGTTCAGTTGGAAGCTTGTTCTTCAGGTTACTCGCCATAGTGCAAAGCTTGGTATCATCTTTGATTTTGTCTGGCCCTACTTGATTAGCGTGAGAGCTTTATCGAATACCCATTTAGTGTTCATGATGCTTCTTTTGGTTAGTGTTCGCGACGATGACCTGGACCCTTCGAACGACTAGTAACAAGATGATTGTTGAGCAGGTCTTCTTGCGACAGGCCACTGACTCGATATTCAAATTTCTAACATTTTTGCAGAACGGGTCACTGCTCCCTAGTCAGCGGGGCAGAGATCGGTTAGGTGACTTGAAGAACAAGTTGATTATGGCAGGACGCCGTGCTCTACCCCTTAGCCATTGATCTAGCCATTGCTCTGCCTCCTAGTTATTGATCTGCCTCCTAGCCATTGATCTATCGGCCACTTGAGGGCTTTTCTTTTTTCTTTTATCATGGCATATTTGTATTGTTCCCCTAAAAAGTTTATTTTTATCTTTTCTGTATTGAACTTTTTGGATAAACATGGTTGTTGCTTTATCTATAAAGCGAGGCAGAAGCCTTGTTTCAAGAGAAGGCTAGTTTATTCCTTTGTTTAAATATTGATCATACCACTAAAATTGCAAGGAGCTAAGCTTTATAAAAAATATCTACATGAACCCCTAATCATTTAGTTGCGCCTCAAAGAAATCTGAGAAAGGAGAGGATATTGATATCAAGTACGCTTGGATGACATCATGTCAAAGGCTAAAGCTGTTGGAGATCTGCCCTAGAGGCAATAATGTATGATGATATTTTCTATGCGTTTATGAATAAAGATAGTCCTTGGATATTATCAATGATGTGTATTAGTAAGTACGTGACTTGTTTGTGGGACTATGCATTGTATGATGACTGTCCTAAAAGGTTCCTAGTCGAAAGGGCTATATAGACATGCAATCGACTAGACTAGCATATGACACGGTGGATAGCTCGGTATCACTAGCCATGGAGCATTGGATGCTAACCGGATAATATGGTCTCGGAAGGATCTTGCCGGATTTGATGTAGTCCAATCCGCGTCGAGATAAGGTCCGAGTTGGATAGACCCGACTATGAGACGCAGCGATATGTCATCTGTGAGTCTCTAGTACAACATACATTATATGTCCTAAGACCCGAGCTGGCGCATGTACTCAGGATGGTGACATACTTGCTTTGGGCCCGACCAAATGCTACTCCGTAACTGGGTAGTTACAAAGGTAGATTTCGGGCTTGTCCAGACCCATGCTGCGAGACATGGTCGAGCAAGATGGGATTTGCCCCTCCGATCAGTAGAGATATACTCTGGGCCCTTCGTGTGATCCAACCAAGATAAGCATGGCTATGCAATTAGGATTATGAGATAATCCGGTGTGTGGTCAGCATCATTGGAATGATGTAGAGGTCGGGCTAGCACAAGGATGACAGAGTCACCTTGAGCCCGACAACATATATCATGTGGCAAAGGGAATAGAAGTGTGATGTACAGGTTCGCCTAACCAGCTTCAGACACTTGGATTCGGCACGCTTTGCTAGTGGCCGCTATTGACTAGCCGAGCCGGATGTGATCTGACTCGCGACCAAGTGAACGAGAACCTAAGGGGTCGCACGCTTAAGAGAAGGAACCTGAGAGGCCTGATTCGACTCCACGAGTTCGATGTGATCTTAGTCAAAATTGGATCCAGGCCGAACATACTTTGGGTTTTAGGATCCGTGCAAGGCCCCAAGTGGTGATCCCAAGACGAATGCCTATATAAAGTGGAGGTGCGACACACTCATTTGGTTAATCGCTTCAGCGCTGTCACTTGGGCTTTGCATGTGTTGCGAATAGCCACCTCCACTCGCCGCCGACAGTGTGATCAGACCTAGCAGTCCGCCGCACGGTGTTCCTCCTGCACGCGCGAATATCATTAGAGGCAGTGCACTTGCGCCGCTCCGGCAAACCAATACGTGGGATCCGACGAGCGGCTGTTTGAGGGAGATCAGACGAGGAGGAGATGACTCCGGAGACGCGCTGCCCCAACTCTTCTTCCGCTGCACAACACTATGCGTCTAGTGGTAACAATCTGTGATCCATCTCCGATAGCATGTTCTTGATTGTTCTACGCCTAGGAAATTTTTAATTTGCAGTCGATGCACCCTACCGTAGATCCCAACAGTGGTATCAGAGTCCTTGCTATAGGATTTGGATTCAGATCAGATGCATATTTGATA